ATCTGAGGCCACTTTATCAATGTAGAAGTTTTTCTTGCAGCCTTTGAAATGACTGTTTTCTGTGTGCATTTGAGGGAAGAATATCTTTGTTTTTTTTCTTTTTTTAGTGGATGAAGAGTGTGTACCAGGCAAAAATGTAAAGGAATGCTTTTAGCAAGAGGTAAATGTCAGCAGCAGTGTATGCAATTATTGTTGTTTTGGAGATGAAAACTTCTTCTATTATTGTATCCATTTGAAGGTAAAAGTTACAATTGATGAATAGAAATGGGATTTGTTGGTCAAAAATGAGCTTTAACAGTGACTTCTAAACCCAGTATTAAAACTAAGTGTTCCTGCTGCTATCTGGGTGGGTATAGTTAGAAGCCAGTGTAGGTCTAGGGCTGCTGATTTTTATTTGAGCTCCTGCCAGATGTTCAGCAGCAGACATGTGCACCCTTCTTTCTATCTCCAGTTCTCAGGAGGTGAAAATTTCTGTCTCTGTACTCTTTATTTAAATCATAGAGAGCTTTAGGATAATATGACCAAAGAGAAAAATGCAAAGATAACCTTAGGCTGATGCATTTTTTTTCTGTGGTCCTTAGATTAGTCCTTATGCAGTATCTTCAAGTACTTGTTATTTCATTGAAGAAATGAAGCTTTCAGGCTTGGCATCTGTCCCTAAGAACACCCCAAACTGTGTGAACTGTGTCCAGATAGCTTCTTTGTGATGAGAGGCTGAGAGCCTTCTTATTTGAGGGAGGGATGTGATTCATGTGTACAGAATCATTAAGCTTGCAGACCAGATGAATGTGAACAGTTCTTCAGCAAAGTTTGCTGTAGTAGAACAAGAGTGACTTTCTGAAACTAGGAAGGGGATAAATTTAATTTACTAAAAGAAGTTCTTGTAACTGTGGACAGTTAAGTACTAGTGCAGTCTGCCGCAAGAGGTTGTGGAGGCACATTCAAAAGTGGTCAGATGGATTTGTGGACATCAAGTCCACAAATTGCTGCTGATGAGAATAAGTAATGACGTAGCCTTTAATTTTGATTTGTAACGGTTTAAATTGCTGAAGGATTATGAGGAGAGTAGACTACAGAAAACAGCCAGGTTCATGTGCTTTTCTTGAGTAGCATGTCCTTTTGCCAGCTTTGGAGCCATTGGAGTACTAGCCTGGATGCACCATTGCTTTTTTGTTGCAAAATCTACCTTTATCCAAATTGCTCATAATTCAGCCTAATCATGCCTTGCATTTTGCACTGTCTTCTCTAGGCTTGGAGCAGAGTGCCTTTTTTTTCATAAATTAAGCTGGCTGAAACACTCTCATGTGAGTACTCATCACAATTGGCTGAAGTATTAAGCTGAATGAAGTCCTGTCCTACTTGTGTCACATTCTCTCTGCTCACCCTTTGAAAGATACAGGGCCACTACTGGAATAACTTACTGAAATTCTTATTGATAACTCCTGGCAAATYTCTGACAATGCAAAACAATAGCTAGAAGGAAGAAGTTAGTTTAAGCCTCCCAGACTTGTAGTCTGCAGCTGKGATGTATGTTGTGTTTTTGTTAAATAGCTCCTAAGCTGCAAAAATCATTATTATAAAGGGCTCTTTATATGTGTCCCTTGGTGTTTGGGACTTTTTTTTACAGCTAATTTTCATGGAGGTACCAGATCAATTTGCGCTTTCTGACATCTTCTGCAGTAGCTGAACGAACATACAGCTTTAGGCAACTTGATAAAATTAAGTATAGTATGTGGAAATTTCTGGCTAGTTAGATCTGAGTCTACAGTATTTTGTGAAATGTGAAGAGAACTTTTTTAAAAATTTATTTACTCTGAGTATGTCARAACAATATGAGAGTTCAAATACAGGGAAAAACTGTAATAATTTTTAAATTCTTTTCTGCTTCAAGACTTAAGTCACTCAATGTGCATTTGAAGCAGAAAGGCAAATCTTTGTTTAATATAGAAAACCACAGAGAATACAGAAAATTATATATCATTCTTGAGGGAAAGAATACTGCAGAATTGGGCACMTCATCTCAGGGACTATTGTAAAGCTGAAAAATTGAAAAAGTTCATTGACGTTTTTTGGAGGGCCTGGAAGAATAGGCCCTCTATAGAAGGAGGCTGTTTACCGTCTTGGTGGTAAATGAGACCTGAAGTCTGTGTTTTATAAAACTGACWGTCAAAGGAGTGTTCTGTAGCTCTGAAAGGTGTCAGATTTGTAGCCAAAGAACAGGAAATGCTCAGATAAGGAGAAGAATTGGTGTGGGGATCAGCAGTGATGGTACATCATAGCCTACACCGGTCAGCACTGAATATAATGTTGAGACATTATACCATCAATTGCTACTCTTTGGAACRGGATCTTTAAAGCCAGAGAGACTGTTCATTTGGTTCAGTCTTTCTGAATTTCTTGTGTGTCTCTCTGAAGCATCCAGTGTTGGCCTTGCTCAAAGGTTGAAGTCTTTTTTTATAAAGCTCACAGTGTCTGCTGCTCTGTTTTAGAAGCTGTTTCTTCAACARGTGGAGGCCATGCAAACCTACCTGTTTAGTCTCTGGAGCTACTTGGTGTACTYATTAGGGGTCTAATATGTCTCACTGCCAGGCCCTCAATTGGTTCAGAGCAAGTCAGGCTGCTTAATTTGGCTTTGTCACCAAAATAAATTATTTAAATTAAAGCACATCCAGCTATGCAATCAATACCAGCTCTGCAATTGAAGTTTGGGGGCTAGAGTTCTTCCCACACTCTGTAACTCATTTGACATCACCTGTAGTACATCAGTACCATGTGTAAGCAATTTGTTAACTTGAAAGAGAACCAGCTTGGGAAAAATACCCACAGAACTGATCAGTTTTTACTTTTACCTGGCTGAAATTTTGTGGAAGAGCCTTAAGCACTGGTGCTGAGGTTGTGGTGCTGCAGGAAAGAAAAGAAGAACTAGGCTTCCCCTGGCAAGAAGCTGTTGTGTTGGCTTAACTCCCTATCAAACTGAACCTTGAGTGCCCTAGTCAGTTTTTAATTAAAAAATGTTGGTTCAGTTTATTTTTCTTGTTTGCTGTAGCCAGTCAGCAAAACCTACAATTGGAGTTATTGGGGACAATCTAGTAATAGTTTAATGTTATTGGAAGAATCAAAGTTCTTTATAGTCTTGTRTGAAAATAGATGCTTTGACTTTTTACCAGGGCCTCTACTGACAAAAAAAATAAAACAGTTTCAAGCTGGGAGAAGTTTGATGCAGATTGGGTATAAGGAAGAAATTCCTATCTGTKAGGGTGATRAGGCCCTGRCAGAGGCTGCCYAKGGAAGCTGGGCATCTCTGGAATTGTCCAGCTGCCTGGTTGGATGGAGCTCTGAGCAGCCAGGGATGGTGGAAGTGTCCCTGCCCATGGCAGGGASTGCAGCAAAATGGTTCTTAACACTGATTCTGTGATTGAGGATGAAGTATTTTGAATGACTTGCATAARATGATCAGTGTTGATCTTGGTCCCTGTTACGTGGACCCCAGAAAACTACACTGCTTGCTTGAGTTATACTTGTATAGGTGCTCTGAGAAGCTGGTTTAKGGAGGTGTAATTTATTTGAAACTGAAATGTCATGCCTACTGAATGTCCTGGTTTGTGAAAGTTGCARAGTTATGACTTAAAGTTACGTGTAGAATATAATCTACTGTTTGTTGRCTTGGCCCTCACTGGAACTGCAAAAATGTGACAAGGCATAAATTAGCCATGAATGCTGTAGCCTGAAGTACTTCGAATCACGCTGTTGTGCAGGTGGGAGACTTCAGTAAGATAAAGTTGGTATATTTTGGATAGATGTGGGGAGTGTGCCTGTACAGGTRGGAGAGGCACGTAAGCTGCCATCAAAGCTCAAATCAAGTAGCCTGAAGGTAGTGTTAGCTTTTAGCTAAAACAAGGTATTTTCAGCTGACTGAACTAACTAACTAACAGCTCACTGACTGAATGATACGGCTTGGGAATATSGGAACTTCCTGGAGTTCAAATACCCATTTGTTGCCTGGAAATAGGATAATTTTTGACTTCAAAGCTAGCTTCAATCCGTAGGACCTTTAATGTCCTTGAGCAATTTCTAACATCTGTCTGCCTGTTGATTTCAGGTATTTTATTTTAATGGCTAAAACTGGCCTAATGGAAGCTGCAAAAGCAAGATGGTTAGGCTAAGTGGMTATAATTTATCTTATAAGTAATTTGAAGTGCATATTGCAGTGAATGCTCAACATAGCTCCAGTTTCAGCATCCCTTTTAATATTTCATTTATATTAATAATGTGATCAGGTACTTATACTGAATGAAAGGCTATCAAAACTGAAAACACAGTTCTACTACCCTGGTGCCTAYGAACTAAGATTTTAACTGTTCCTTTAATGAATTTTGAAAGACTTGATTTTAAGTGCTCCAGTTGAGAAGATTTATTGTGTGTGGGCCATTGAATTCTAGAGGGGAATAGGCCTGTTATCAGACTTATGGGTATATTTGAAATTGGTGTTCCGTATGGAACAAAAATTTGTAGTTACTTAAAACATGACGAAATGAGATAAGGTTTGTGAAACGCGTGGCTTTTGGAAGACTTCTGTTGAGGCATGATGGCTAAATGACTTTCTAAAACCAGTTTCACCTGCTAAATTAATTTGTGGATGGGCATATGTGTATGCACTTGGTTAGTCACTTGTGAAAAATATTAATRAATTACTAAAACCAGCTAGCCTACGTGCAAAGTTAACTTCTGTATTTGCTGAAGTTTGCTTTAGTCAGGAAAGACTTCAGGAAAGTTCAAATTTCTATTGCAATGGTAATCTTAGTCTCTGTTAGCGGTTCAAGAATCTACATCAAACTTGATCTTCATTGACAAAGTATCTAACCATGATGCAGACTACTTCTGAGCTATTTATCTGACCTTTTTKGGGGGATGCAATGTCCTGTGGCTTTTGGCAGTGAAAAGTCCTAAGGGAGGTGAAATCTCAGGGCTAACATGTCTCTTGTTTTGGTTTGTGTTTTTAGGGATCAGACGGGAATCTCCAGTTCATTGCTTGCTGAGTGTTCTGTCTGGTGGAAGTCATGTCAGCCATATTGCCATTCACTCCACCAGTTGTGAAGAGACTTCTGGGGTGGAAAAAATCKGCTGGTGGCTCTGCAGGGGCTGGTGGTGGTGAGCAGAATGGTCAGGAGGAAAARTGGTGTGAAAAAGCAGTGAAAAGCTTGGTCAAGAAGCTAAAGAAAACAGGACAGCTGGATGAGCTTGAGAAGGCAATTACCACTCAGAATTGCAATACAAAATGTGTGACAATACCAAGGTAAGTSCTGGTGTATTTGAAATTGTTACAGCCACTTAAGAAGTGGCTAAATGGATGCTCAGACATTCTGTGAATGAAGGACTAAAAAATAACAGTTGCATGCTTTTGATTCTTTAAAAATTACTTAAAAACCCTCATTGAATTTATATAGTGTTTGCTGGTAACTGAATCACATGCTTTGTGAAGTCACAGTTTTTTTACATTTCWATTTTCACAGCTATGTAGGTTCCTGATTGTGTGTATTCTGGTGAGGCTTAACACTGCTCTTAGTTTGTGGTACTGCCTTATGCTTTTATTAAATAACCCTGCTGTACTTGGGGAGGGGGACATACTTGAGCCACACTTCCACTTTAAAAAAACCCAAAAAGACTAGCTTTTCCTTGGTCAACACTTCAGTCATCTAATTATTTTCAGTTATGTCTCCTAGTTTAAACTGTACAAGCTGCTTCCATTCTTCCTTTTGAAGGGAAGTTTTATCTTTGGAGGCAGGTTGTCTGAGGACTAGTTTATTTACTGTAATTATTATTATTGTTTAATGAAAATATATTTTGTTTAATTACTTGGGGTTTGTCTAGAATCGCTCTTTTGCTCCTGATACGTATAAACATTTAGATGAACAACTTGCATTCTGCCCCTTTGACTTTCCCAGCTTAATTCATAGCAACTGCTGTGCGAGAGCAAGGGTTAYGTTTGTAAGTATAATGCAGTCTGCTCTTGATTCATGTTGCACTGMAATTCCACTGGGGTGCCTGGGCAAGCTCATTGTGTGTGATAGAAGTATCAAATCACTTCACAGGTGTGCTTTTCCCTGAAAATGTTAGAAGATCTCACTTTTCTGGGCACTTARGTCATTTGATACTAAAATTATTTCYAGGAGGGAGGAACTGCATCTGGTTTATGAACTTGATTTCTGGATTAGCACATTCATCCCAGCTACTTTTACACTTTGTATTAATCATAAYACAAACCAGATTTGACTAGTGTCACTAATGATTCCATATATCAAATRTGTTGTAGCTGTTACCTGATAATAGTTTCAGCATTCTGTTTTTGATTTGACGCAGCTATCTGGGAAAGTCATGAGTATGYCCTGAATGAMTGAGTACTTMWAWTWWTWTTTTTTTCTCTTTTCTGTTCACMTTTTGTYTCTRATGCTGTCCTCTGCTTGTATTTTCTTCCCTAGAATATCCCCATAAATGTCTGGCTTTCCCTTCTGTTTTCTTCCTTTTGCGAGATAGAAACAATCAATTAAAAAACATTAGCATTTTGTCTTAGTGTATTGCCAGCAGACTAAGATTGGAACCTGTAGGATTGTATTTCTTGAGATAACTTGATGTATTTAGCACATCTCTACTGTGACTAAGATGAAGTTCTTAACTGGAAGGTGTTTCATGTGACTGAAATTAAACACACTTGATATAAAATGTGTATCTAGGCTCTAGAGCTCTTGGATTTTCTATAGCCTTCCTRCAGGGATATTGGAGCAGTAGATAATGTTACTTCAGAAAAACAGATGTCTACATGGATTTTTGTTAAAAAAATAATTCTATTTTGTAATAAAAGTTGTATTCTAATACATTGTTATTTTTGAGTAGACTCTAGTCTACTAGTGGTAGACTACAATATGCCTGCATGACCTTTGGTCCTCAAGTAGACATAATAAATAATTTTTTAAAATGGAATACAAATATTCTGTGAYGAGCAGTTCTTGCTATTCTGTGTCCTCCACTCAGCTGTAAAAAGGACTGAACCTGGGTTTTACTCCTCTGAGTACCTTAGGCTTAAGTCAGGAAGAGTTCTTCAAATTATGTTGGCTATTATACAAGGTTTAATTTAAAACTAAAAAAATGTTTTTGGCATTAAGGGGCAGGGTGAGATCAGGGTTGCCAGCAGTGCCATACAGAATTTTTGAATTTCATAGCYGGCTTTTGCATTGTTGATATTATTTCACTTTGACAGTAGTAGTCTGGGTTCCCAAGAAATAACAAACGCCAACTCAGTACTGTAATGACTTCTTGGAGATTCTGTTCTTGGATTAGTAAGTTAATGAAACCACTGCTTGAGACCCACTTTAATGAATGTCTTAAAGATCTGCAGATCAGCGGGATAAATAATAAAATGCTGAATTTGAAACTTTTTTCCTTACTAGTCAGCAGGAAGTTTGTGGTGCCAAGCTGCTGAGATGCAGTTCTGATGTGACAGCTGGGCTAGCTTTCCAAATGTTGTTCTGCTTGGGGAAGGTTTTTGTGTATTGTGTTTTTCAGATAGCTTTAGTTTAACTTACTGATGCTGTTTAATTTGGYGTAGATAGTGATGACTGTTGTGGGATGCTTCTGGTTGCCACTGTTGCATTCCTTCCTCAAGAAAAGTTTCACTTAACAGTTTTGCAAGTTTCTGGTCCTATTGGAGATTTCCAGTGAGTTTGATACAGTGTTTAAGTCTTGTATACTTTTTCGTCATTGAAACCTAAAGCATCTAAACTCCTACAGACTTTCCAAAACTGAGAGTGGCTTGAACAAAAGTTGTATTAAATCACCTGCTCAGAAGTCTGCATTTCTTCACTATGTGTCATCAATAATCAGACTGAATCAAATTTGTTCTGCTCATGTGCTGTTTGTCAAGGTGACTGCACACTAAGGGAGGCTGATCCTTGTGTGTACTACACAAAAGCTGCTCATGTGGTAATTAACACAACTTCTTACGAGACTAATGGAGATTCTGAGAAAGCAGAAGCAAACAGATGGAGTGGGTGTTGGCATTGCACAGCAGGACTGCTTAGCTCTTCATAAGTGGGTCAGTAATCTAGAGCAGAGGCTAAATAAGTACAGAAGTCCTTTTGACACTAGCCCTCTAAGTAATTTGTAGTTATCTTGCTGAATCCTCCCAGCAAGCCAGTGGGATTCTAATCACATAATCCCTGTGTATTCTGAAACTAATGTTGGCACATGAGTTCACTTTTCTAAAATACTTAATGAATTTGGTGGCATTTGAGAACTTGTCTTCATGCTCTCCCTTGCAGTTTTGACATGGGCACAAGATGCAGTCAATGGACAACCAGTGTGAACATCCTTCTTCTAATGGAGCAGTTTATTCCTACTAAGCCTGGGTTATTCTTTTGAATCATAGAATCTTAGACTAGTTTGGGTTGAAAGGAGCCTTAAAAGATCATCTAGCTTCAGCTGCCCTGCCATGGCCAGGTGCAGGGACATCTTCCAGTAGACCTGGTTCCTCAAAATCCACTCCATAAATGTTTTGTGTCTAGTGATGGCTAAAGTCCAAGCATTTCGTAAACCGAACCATGCCATTAGTGCATAATCAACTGGCATATTAATTCTTACTACCTTCATTGTTAAAAAAGTTGTTTCAGTGGTAACAGCACAGAGAATTGGAATCCAGAGTATGGAAACACAGCTATCTTCAGCATCCCAGTATTTTGATCAGCTGAGTGGTTTTTGCTGTCTTAAAAAAGAGTATGGATATGCTTTGTGCTAGATTTTTGCTTCTTTTAAATGAGACCAAAAAAACAGCTGCCTTTGTAAAATGCCTGATAATGTACGACTAATAAAAGAGTTTAGTTGGGTCAAGTTTGGGATAATGTTGACCTGTATAGTTGGAGMTCCCATATTTTCAAAATTGGAAATTTAAGAAAAAAGGTAGAGGGAGAGAAGCATGGAATTTGGACAATTTTTTGTCAATATYAATAGCAGTTATATTACAGTTATTAAATATAATTGGTTTTGATACTGTCGGTGGAATAGTAGTTAACATTTGAATATCGACTTTTATTGGAGGCCTTAGTTCCTGCAGAGGTGGTAAATTTCACTGCTGCTTTTTATTAAATTGCATCACAAAAGCTGAGCAATTTTGAATGTTGATGGAAAACAATCTGGCAGATTTTTGGTTTAAGTTAGGTTTAAAAACCTTTCAATTTTCTGAAACAGCAGCTTAGAGACTTTTTGCTWGGGTGCTGGTATCTTGCAGCTGCTTCAGAGTCTAAGGTGAAATGCAGCAGTCGCTTCCAGAGCAGAGTGAGGGCTAATAMTCCTGTCAATCTCTTGCTTTTTAGCCTGCTTTGCCATTAGAGTTTTAGTATTATCTGGTCTTACATGTGCTTTCTGTCCCTCTTGTTTAGCATGAGTGTAGCACCCCTGAGTTTATGGTTTTCAGTAGCTTATTTTTGCTTGTTTTTCTGCAGCTTCCCAATTACTTGGAGAGAGTGAGAGTAATTTTAACATTATTTTGAAGAATGTAGATGATCTGTGGAATTTACAGTCCACAGTTAGATTTCTAGAGTGTCTGGCTTCTACTTCCAATAYGAGTTGAATTCTAAATTTTTGCACCATTCAGAGTAAAGGGGATAAACCAACAAGGGGTTCCATGGCTTTGGAAATGTGGAAGGTTGTGAGACAGTGGTGGGYATGGGAAGAAGATGGCTGCAAATTGAGTGATTGATAGGAATTACTGATAAACTTCACTAAAATTGGTGTTTCTTTGAGTTTTTAAGGTTAAGTAGTATTATTTCAAAATTGTTAAAGCCATGACTTTCACTTGAATGGCTTTCACTTCATCCATTAGTGAAGGCTGTTAATTTTTTTAAATACTCCCATGGAACTGATTACACCCTGATTCTTCTGGGGAAATAAGGTGTTGTTATTTAAGCATTGCTTTCAGAATGCCTTTTTGATAATATTCTTTCTTAAAGAAGSTAAAAATACAGTAGCATATATTGATTGGCATCGGAAGGTTGTAATGTTTTGGGGTTTAGTTGTTGTTTGGTTAGGGKTTTTTTTGTGAAGTAAATATCCATGTGACTTCTGAACCTAAATGTCTGCTCTGAACCTGAAAGATGCTGAAGTGAATAATGCTGTTGACACTTGACTTTTCTTAGATTTGCTCAAAGTATCCAGGAAATAAATCCAGTATATATAAATTTTGGTATATTTCTGATGTATTCTGCAATGCCTTAGTAATTAAAACTGGAGAATCTGATAAAAATTTAT